ATTGGTTGGAAATGTTTACTGTGGCGTAGCATTTTTTTAATCATCATTTACTCACAATCAATTTCTTATCCCGTAAGATGATTTTAATAGCTTAGCCCCCAAATGGTCAAAAATATAAAAATAATGAAAATGATAATAATGTCATTAATAAAATGAACTTGATTAAATAAGTTAATATAGTTAAAAAGATTTATTTAATTAAACTTATTAATGAAGTTAATAATATTTATAATGTTTCTATAGTTTCTTAGTCTTACTTTATCTTTAATTAACAATAGAAGTAGATCAAGAATTTTAATAAGTAGGATAGGAGCTTCATAGTCTCAATAGTTAGATTAAAAACAGTTAACTAAGTTAGTAAGTCAAGTAGTTAGTTAATTAGGATAACTGGAATTTCATAATTTTATAAGTTCACTAATAAGAGTATATTGGTGTAGATCCAATTATAAAACCTCTCTTATCGTTATATATTGATTTACATTGATAATTTACATTCTTGGAATCACATGATTAGGTCGAAAGATTTTATATTTTTTACGTTTGTACAATATACAATTTTAATAAAGAGTTTGCTTTTTTGTTAGAATCATTTTAATATAATTTATTACATATTATACAATCTTCATTCGCTAAAACTATATATTAGTACCATTAAAAAATACCAAAAATTTCAAATTATCTGTAAAATGCTTATAATTCTATTCACTAATTTTGTAATAACTAAATATATGTTAACTTATATTTAACTATTATTATTTTGCGAAATTTTAGTTTACCTAACTTGAAAGTTAGATAGGTTTGAAGTTAGTTTGAGTTGAAGTATTTTTTTGATCTTCTGAACAAACATACATTAGATGAGGCTTTTGATTTGGCTTGTGAAAATACATAGTGTAGGTCTCCCTCTGTAATAGCCCTTAATAGAAATCCCTATCTAAACAAAGACAAAAGCGAAGCCTAATTTGTAAAAAATTCTATTTATAAGTAACGATTTAATAATTTTTAATTAAAGGCGGAAATGTTACATGCGCACGATCGATCAGAAAATCGACGTTAAGTTAGGCGCAGTCGATGACACATACACAAACACTCGAAGCGTTATTTGTGAGTAATTTATAAGGCTTATTGCTTTAAAAAATATCCCTCCTGTATGGTAAGTTTCGCATGATAATTCAAGATTTTGCAAAATATTTGTGGGTATTGGCTTATATGTCTTATCAACATCAACCTTTTAAAGATCCTTCATTGAGCTTGGCTTTAAGGTAAATTTCATACTATTATTCATGATTATTTATGGGTATTGGCTTATAAGGCTTATTACCACCTACCCTTATAAATACCCTCGTTGAGCTGCCTTTGAAAGCTGCAACATCTAATTATTACATTAATATCGAATAGAAACTCATACACAAAATGGTAGCAATCAAATTTTTTTGTGCTCTCCTTATTATCGCCACTGTGACACTGGTCATCGTAGTCGATGCCTTTGATCCCCAGTTTGTTTCTTCAACTTGTTAACGATGAACGTAGTAAGGTTGGAGCTCCTGCACTTACCTTAGACGGGTAAATTTTGCGAGTTTACGTGCTGTTATTAAAGAAAACTTGTATTAACGATTCTATTTTATATATTTCATTTTTTATAGTCGATTGACGCAAGCAGCTCAAACGCAAAACCGATTATATGGTTATGACCAACACCCTTACTCACGATAACCCTGCCGGTGATATAGGGCAACGTGTTCGAAACACTGGGTACGTTTATAGTAACGTTTCTGAAAATGTCGCTGAAGGATATGGTACAAATGAGGAAGTGCGTGTCATGCAAGGGTAAGAATCTTTTTTATGATTAGATTTTAAGTCTCATTTATAATTCAAGTTCTAATTAAAAGTCACCTTTTTCATTTTTTATTAAAAAAGTTGGATGAATTCCACCATACATCGGGATAATATTCTTAATCCAGTATTCGTGGTTGTGGTGAAACTTATTGGACTCAAGTTTTTGCTAGTCCACTTGAACAAACCGGAGATTTTGCTTGAAAGCTGAATTTGAAAACCAAATTTAATATTTTTTTTGTAATATTTAAAAATTGATTTTGATTTAGATACATTTAACACGATCAAATGCTCTATTCGATGATTAAACTATTAAAATAAAAAAATTTTTGACCTTATTTTAACATTTAATTATTTAATACAAGGGTGCGTGTAAGATATGATTAGTGCAAAATATCACAAAAGATAAATACAAGCTGTTACAAGAATTTGTTACGTATTATAATTAATATCCTGAAATTTACAAAACATTTCCCTACTCACCTATCTGGCAAAAAGAATAAGAAGAAAGACAAGAAGAAACAACATATTATTAATATTTTGGCTGTTTTTTTTTTTTGACGATGTGGTACTGTCACAAGTTTATTAAATTTATGTTTAAATTATTAAAAGATCCCATACTTAATGATTTAATCTTCAACAAGAAATTCAAATGAAATATTTTGGCTATTGGTGAACGAACCAATATCCTAATTTCGGCTAGGCCCGTGATTTTCGTTTCGTCTAAATAATCGTAAAATTAACTGATCAAATCCGATAAACATTATTCTTTAAATATCGACGCTACCATTGGCTGGTATAATTGAGAATAGGGTTAGGTATTAGGAATTTTGTCAACGGTGTGACACTGGTTATGATTCAATTTTAGGACTTGGAATTTTTTTAGGTTGATTAATTAATGCATAACGAGATTTTATACGTGATTATTAAATACTATTAAATGCATCGGGAACTTAACCGCAAAAGTCATTTTATAATAATGATGATTGCCTTCAACACTATACAAAGTTGGATCGAAGTAACGACGATGGATAACGATAAAAAATGCGGATTTACATCGAATACAGATTCATTAAATTAAATTCGGAAATTAATTTTAAAACGGGGCCATTTATTAAGCTTGATTAATTAATTATATATTTATTAAAAAAATGTGAATGCCTTTTTCTTGGAACATCATTCGTTTGAAACTTTCTTGATAATATTTTGGTAAAATATTTTGAAGATTCATGAATTGGGATTTGTATTTTCTGTATAGAACAATGAAAAACAAAGAAATAAGTAAACATTTTGTTGTTTGGTGGAGGAACTATAAATGAAGGGCCTCATACAACAACAAATAAGCAAATTATATTTAGCTATACTCTGTATTAAAATTACGAAATTCGAATTTATGCGTCGTTACACGAATTAATAACAAAATATAAAGAGCAATGCTTGTGGGTTCCACAATTTTTTAAACATCAACATTACACGAATATCTAAAGGTGGCTTGAACAAGAAACTCTTCCAATCGGTATAATAAAACCGGTAATAATTTAACATTTTAAGGTCTTCCCGCCACAGTAACTATTTGAAGTAAGGTAATTTGATTTAATTTGAAATATTTACCATTTGTGTCAATCTCCCATTTCATTATCGTGAATATAAAAGTTTCCGTTTTTGCTGATTAAAAATATATAAATAGATTCCGAACTTTCTCATCATCTACAAATTTTCTCATTTTTTTTTTTTCTTACATACCGTACGTATATTTTACTGGACTGGTTGCAACTGCACTATAAAAAGCACAGATTGATACGTGGATTAATTTAAAAAGCAAAAAAAAATAAAAAAGTAAAAAAAAAAAAGATAAATAAAAAATAAATTAAAGTAATGCTTTGACGGCGAATTATGATTAACGCAACGAAAGTAAATTATTAGTCAAATTTATTATTGAATAAATTAATTTTTTAAAAAAAAACATATTTATATATATGATTCGATACCAACCTATAAACTTAATAAACAATAAATTGTATTGCCAGTAGGTGCCCTAATAATTCATTTAACCATTTTAATTTTAATTTGAACTCGACAATAAAATAAAATTATTTCTTCTTCTCTTCTTTGGCTCTTCGATAGATGGGCAATTTATATAACGGAATGTTACCAATCGCAATATTTTGTAATCACGTACTATGTAAATCTAATAACGGCAGTGATATTCAAACTTTTAGCTGGCGTAAGTGGTAATGAAACTTTGAGTAATCACATGATAAACCCGGAAATTCAAGTTAATCTTTTCTCCAATTTCTAGGGGATTTTAATCAGAAGGCTGTTGACACATCAAGAAGTAAGATTATTGTCTAATGGAATAATAGCACCTTTGGAAGGATTTTTAGGATTTTCTATGCTGTGTGGAATAGGTACGTACGTCAAATTCGTAAATAAAAACAATAAAGTGGACATGACACCTAACTCGTATCACATTTGACTTTACAGCAAGGGTCGTGTGTAGCATAACATTCATAACTGATGTGCTTCCAACGAATTATATATATCGAGAGATGATATCAGACGCACAATGGATAACAGCACAACTGGCCGCGTATACATATTTGGCGGGTGTATTTCGTACATTACCTCGCATGGCATTTTTTCAACCTTCCGAAAATAATACATCCATATGCGTGCCAACTATGTCTCTAATAAAATCATTGTTTTGGACAATGTCTTTGACGTTAATTATAGTAGCGCATGGTTCATCAATATTGTCGGGATATTTTAGAATGAAAGAAAATAAATTCTTATTAGATGTATTCACTACTACAAGGTTGGTTGCCTATGGAATTTCTTGTATCTTATTGGTAATAGGATATGGAATATATGGAAGACTTTTAATAGATTTGACGATACAAAGTTTTGATTTAGTTCAAGGGCAAGGTGGAATAGCCGAGGCTTGTCAAGAAACTCACATTACTGACGTATTTAGAAATGAAGATGGAATGGAAGGAAGAAATATACATAGGATCTATATTTTATCAAGAGAGGGTGAAAAGGGTGAAGTTGAAACGAGAAATGATAGGTTTAAATATCATATAAGAAAGATGAAAATATTTAATTATTCGGCAATAATGACATTTGTATTTTGGTCATTAACAAGTTTTGTCTTGGCATTTTGGCATGACACAATTTGGTCTACGATAGTTTTATCAAAAATTCAAGCTTTTCTCGCAAACATAAATACAAATTTAATCTTTTTAGTCGTTTTGATTGGAATCTTGCAAAGTGAATTGATTCATCATAAAGGTCAAAATTCTCTTGATGTAACCAAAGCAGTTGTAAGCAGTGAGTCATCAACCTTTGCTTATTCTGAAACAATTCCTTAAATAAAAAAAAAAATTGAATTTTGAATTTTCTACGGTTTTCTTGACGAGTCACGTGATCATATCGTATATCTTTCGAAATCAATCTTTTAACTTTTTTATTTTATTTTTTCTCGAGGTAAGTCAGATCACAAGTAGCTGTAATTGGTGACTAGTGCCGATTTCACCCGAGATCTATTTCGTGATACCTATACAATGCGAATTTAAACGAACCTTCAGTAAATTTCACCCATCAAAATCCTGCTCCAAATCTAAAATGCAATATCAGAATATCAGATCTGAGGCAATAACCGATAATTGACAAATAATGCGATGTAACACCTATAAGTTGATATAATCATATCTGTCGGTTAAACTTCGTTAATATTAAAATTTTTTATGATGATGATGATCCTACGTTAGGCCGTTTGAAAATTCAAGTATTTGATTGATATAGAAAATCATTTTTTTTTTTTTATATTCAAAATGATTTTTGAATTCTCAATATACGAAATATTAAAATGATTTGTCTGATAGTCATATTGTTTATGCAAAAAAAAAAAAAAAAAAGCTTTGTTCATGCAACACTTAACCCTTCGTTTTAAAATTATGCATTTATCTAAATTTGAATTTTTGATAAAATGTACTGTGGCGTATAACATTATTAAAATTAAATAAAGGGATTATGTATAAAGAAGTTGCACAAAGTTTATGGCCGAAGAAATATGCAAAGTTTTTTATCCAATTGAAAAATCAGCCGTGTAACCCAAAGAGTACAGTTATCATCGGCCTTTGTTAACGGTAATCTTTCTTTAATGATAACCTTTCTTCCATTACATCACAAGAGAGATCGTGCGCGTCATATATACGTCGAACTATTTTAACGTTCAAAGCGCACAAAAGAAAAAATCTTTTATCTAATTACGGTACAACCAAAAACTTGTCTGTAATTAATATTTTCCTTTAAAGGAAGGTTCTCAATAATAAGCGTTACACGGGAAGTCAGCCACTGGCAAATCTAGAATTTTCTGGGCTTAGATGTCGAAAATTCTCAGATAATGACTATATGTAGTATTATTCCTTTACTTCTCTAAAAAGATAAGCAGGTATTCAGGATAAATTTTGCGGAAACTTCTATTCGTTTCATAAAGTTGATGGTATCGTGTTTGAATCACAATACTGGTAATTTTCTGGGCATTCACAAAGGGGACAATGCACCATTCCCATTTAATTAGGACCACATCAAATACATAAAAGGGAATTGAACGGCCGAATAAAGGTGTCAAATCACCCCAAATTTGGGTTTCTATGTCACCCAGTTACATCAAAAATGGTTTCTTGTTTTTTATATATATATGCGCTTCATGAATAATTTTTTTTTTTAACAAAATATCCAAAAAAAGTTTCAAAAAAACTTAATACAATACTGACGACGTTTGAGACGTCTTTTTATTCACAGGGGATACATATATCATCGAACATCTCCCTTCTATCCATATCATCACATTTATATACCTTCCTATCCATCCCGAAAATAAAAAAAAATCCCCTTGGATAAAAAAAATTCACAATCCTTCAATCCTTCTTAAAAACTCACATAGAACAAAAATGGTCAAATTCACCTTTTCACTTTTACTCATTGGAATCGTTTCCTTGGTTAGAGCGGATTTTGAAGTTGAAACAAACAACAATGGGTTTGTACCATCCTCTGAACTTCGTAGCATTTATAGCCAAAAAACGGCTTCTAAAACTAAAACTGGGGGACATCATAAAGCAGAGATTTATTTTAAAACCAAAGTACCATCATTCAATCCCGATCAAAGCGGAGTGGTATCTGATATTAAATGTGGTGATGAT